AGGCAGTGGTTGCAACAGGTACCCCCCCACCCAAACCCCCATGCCTGTGAGCCACCTGCCGGGGGCACAGAGACATGTGGGGAGGGGCCCATCCACGACCCCCGAGATGATCCCTCTTCCCCCCCCCCCCAATTGAACGAGCCGCTCCCCTGGGGGGAGGGTGTGGGGGGCCAATATCCAGTGTGTCTCCCCTCCTGTCGCCTTCGGGGTCAGTGAGGGACTGGGACTCCTGGGTTCTCTCCCTGGCTCTGGGATGGGGGGTGGGGTCTGGTGGTTAACATAAGACCGGCCGTACTGGGTCAGACCAAAGGTCCATCTGGCCCAGTGTCCTGTCTACCGACAGTGGGCAATGCCAGGTGCCCAGAGGCAGTGAACCTAACAGGTAATGATCAAGTGATCTCTCTCCTGCCATCCATCTCCACCCTCTGACAGAGAGAGGCTAGGGACGCCATTCCTTACCCGTCCTGGCTAACAGCCATTAATGGACTTAACCTCCATGAATGTATCCAGTTCTCGTAAACCCTGTTACAGTCCCAGCCCTCGCTCGGTTAGAGCCGGGGGGCTGGGGGCCAGGCCGAGCCCGGGCTTGGGGGAGCTCCCCTGACCAGCCCCCTTCTCCCATCCACAGGCTCCCCGTGCTGGAGACGGTGATGCCGGCCGGGGACATCCTCCACCAGAACCCACTGGACTCCATGATGGCCAATCGCTTTCCCCGCTGGTTCATCCTGGGCCACCTGGAGACGCGCCAGTGCGAGCTGGCATCGGCCATGCTCACCGCAGCCAAAGGTGAAGCCAGACGCTGGGCCAGTGCTTGGAGCACGGGCCGGGGAGCTGGGACTCCTGGGTTCTGCCCCAGCTTTGGGAGGGGAACGGGGCCCTGTGGTTAGACCGGGATGGTGGGGCTGGGAGCCAGGACTCCTGGGTTCTATTCCCAGCTCCGGGAGGGGAGCGGGGCCCTGTGGTTAGAGCAGGGGGGCCGGGAGCCAGGACTCTGGGGTTCTGCCCCAGGGCTGGGAGTGGAGTGGGGTCTACTCATCACAGTGCAGAGGGGTAGAGTTGGGCACTAGGTCTCTTGGGATCTAATCCCTTCTCTGCCCCTGACTGAGTGCCCAGGTCAAGTCCCTGGCATGGCCCCATGCTGATCCCATGGGAGGACGAGGAGACCGCGGAGCCCTGAGCTTCTGTGATAGATGCTTGTTCCTCTGGGCCAGGCGGGGCCCCCCCAATCCCCTTCACATGGGAAAGGACGTGAAATCTCCGCCTGGGGCCGGATCAGAGCCGGCGCCCCCTAGAAGGGAAAGGCCCCATGCCCCATTCCCGCCCCCCCGGGCCAGCCAGTCCCCACCCTGCTGCCAGATGGGAGCTGGCGCCCCCTAGAGGGGGAAGTCTTTGTAGCCCCTTCCTGAGGCTCAGAAGCTGGGCCCCTGTGATCGCTGGGCGCTGCGGGCGTCAGCCCCTCTGGGAACCAGGCCCGCGGGGGCTCGAGTTGGGCTCCCCCAGTTCCTAGCCCTGCAGCTTTGCAGATCCTCTTCCCCTGGGCGTCCCAGCCACCCCTGGGGCTAATCTCTGCCCCCCATCCCTGGTCTAGGAGACCCCAAGTGGCTGCACACGGTCCTGGGGTCCATCCAGCAGAACATCCACTCCCCTGCCCTCCTGTTCAAACTGGCCCAGGACGCCTGTAAGACTGCGACGCCGGCCAGCGCCCCGCCGGACGCCACGCTGCTCAACATCTCCCTGGAGCTCGGCCTGCAGGTATGGGGCGGGGGGAACGACTGCTTTGTCCCCACGGGAGGAGTGTGAAGATCTTGACAGACCCGATTGCTGCGGTCGCTTGCCCAGCACTGACATGCAGCCACCTCTGGGGTGGGGTGCAGCGGCTGCTTAACAGCACGCAGTGGGAAGGGGGTGGCATCTAGTGGTTAGAGCGGGGGTGGGCTAGGAGTCAGGACTCCTGGGTTCTGCTCCGAGCTCTACCACAGATTCACTGAGAAACCTTGGGCCAGTCCCGTTCTCTGTTGTTCCTCAGTTTCCCTTTCTGTGCTGTGACCCCTCCCCGCGTGCTCTCAGCCCCTCTGGTGCAAGGCTCCGTACGAGCTCTAATCCGAGCGCACGGCAGCTGTAGACGGGCTCCCTGCCATGGGGGCTCTGTCTTGGGGGGGCCAGGGCCCGGCCCCCGTCCCGGGCCGTGGGTCCCCCCCCCCCCCCCCCCCCCC